TTGATTTCACCAATCTGATGAATACCGCTATCCTGTAATGTACACTGTGTTCAATAGAAATACTGCAGGCCTTTTAATTGTGCTATTGATGCTGCAATGATATTTGTTTGAATGGCTGAAAAAACACACTGACCATATGTCCATGAGAACACACTGTTTAATATTCAGATGCTGCAAACATAAACACCTGACGACTTCGACGGGCATTTTTGAAAAATTCTTTGAATATTTCTGAATTATTCCAAAGCTTCAATTTAAAACATTGCTTAATGTCGTCAATTTCAGAAGTGATCAATGAGACTGGTGACCTAGAAAACCTGTCGTTTGCACAAAGGTTCCAGTTCCAGTGTCTCACAGGCAGCCTGGGCTGTATACTCCCAAGGGAGCTGAGAATGAAACATCATCAGGCAATATCAATCATGTCAATCTAACTATCTGCACAGAGTCCTCATTTCTGTAGTTAGCCCACATGGGTACAATGTGTGAAGCCCATTTCTGGCGTCCCCTGCCGTGATATTGCTGGAATATAGCTAAAAGCAGAGGAAACTAAACTCACTCACTCACTCTGCAGTACACAACAATAAATTTTAAAGCTAGTGGTTGACAGCAAGTATCTCCCGTCATCAGGTACAACGATGCAATTTCAGAAAGGTCCCACATGCCACCTGAACATCTGTTTTTTTCCACAATGTTTCTTCCAGTGTCTTGCATGTTCAGCAAACAGTTATTATTTATGTAAAATCTTACACAATATTTGTTTCCAGTAGTTGCTTTGGGGATGTTGTTAAATGCAATATTCCAGGTACTAATGGCTGCCGGAATGTGGACTAAAGAAACATGTGACTGATATCATGAGCAATAACCCATGCCATCAGGTCATGATGACATGCAACTGATCAGAACAACCACACTGATGATGTTGAAATAATCACAAGCAAAGGTGACTGTAGATTCTGTGGATTATCTTTAGCAATTGTTTACCTATTGTCCTAAGACATGGCATTCTGAGTGATTTTGATTCAATACACCTTTCAACAATAATCCAGTTGTATCAATGAGTATCCAGTATCAAGTGATGAAGCTGAACGTATCCAGTATCAAGTGATGAAGCTGAACGTATCCAGTATCAAGTAATGAAGCTGAATGTATCCAGTATCAAGTGATTAAGCTGAACGTATCCAGTATCAAGTGATGAAGCTGAACGTATCCAGTATCAAGTGATGAAGCTGAACGTATCCAGTATCAAGTGATGAAGTTGAACGTATCCAGTATCAAATGATGAAGCTGAACATATCCAGTATCAAGTAATGAAGCTGTATGTATCCAGTATCAAGTAATGAAGCTGTATGTATCCAGTAACAAGTGATGCAGCTGAACGTATCCAGTATCAAGTGATGAAGCTGTATGTATCCAGTATCAAGTAATGAAGCTGTATGTATCCCGTAACAAGTGATGCAGCTGAACATATCCAGTATCAAGTAATGAAGCTGAACGTATCCAGTAACAAGTGATGCAGCTGAACGTATTCAGTATCAAGTGATGAAGCTGAACGTATCCAGTATCAAGTGATGAAGCTGAACGTATCCAGTATCAAGTGATGAAGCTGAACGTTGTCAGGGAGAAAAAAAGGTTTCAAACCAGAGATGGTGGTGTCCCAATTATACAGATCTGTACAAGGAGCTACAGCACCTCAGTTCTCCACCTGTGCTCCATAGGGGATGTATGAAAGCTGAATCATTACAATACAATGTCTCCTCCATTTGGGATGGTGGGGCAGCCCAGTGGTTAAAGCGTTCGCCAGTTATGCTGAATACCAAGGTTCTATCCAATACATCAGTATTATTGCATGAATCCCACAGCTGGAGTGAGTGAGTGAGTTTAGTTTTACACTGCTTTTAAGTTTGAGCAATATTCCAGCAATATCACGGAAGGGGATACAGGAAATGGGCATCACATATTGTATCCATATGGGAAATCGAACCAGGTTTTTTGGTGTGACGAGCGAATGCTTTAACCACTAGGCTACCCCACCGACCTGTTACTGCTGGAACGTTGTTTAAAGTGGTCTAGTACCATACTAACTCATTCACTCACTCGCTCACTCACTCACATCACTCATTAATGTTGTATTTGACTGACATTGAAAGTAGCATCACACAAAATACATAGAACAGAAAGGCTAGAAGAGAAAGTTCTATTAGGTTCAGTTACAAAAACAATTCTACATGTGGCCTAGTTTGGTTTAGAAAAAGTGGCATTCAGATGTTAGAATAGTCAGTTCTTTTTCAGCATGGCAACAAAAAGCTTTTATGCCGGGTGTTTAAGTGAAGCACAGGAACCTTGACATGTTAAACTATTTTAACCTAATTCCCAAGAGCTCCCACTTTTTAAACCAATACAGGCCATTAACCAACAATCCGTGAAACGTATGCACTTGTATAGATCGGTCATGTATTATTGAACTGGTAAAACCATTACAGGATTCCTTGTCAGCTCGGCATTGACTATGGCAGTACTATACACTTCCAGTCTTAATACCACCTGGGTTAGTATTGATCTGCCGTGGGAAATACGGTCTTGGGGCTGATACTCTAGAGCTGATACTCATACCTACTGATGCTGGGCTTTGGGTTGTGGTTAAAGAACCATGTCCTTAGTGAGTGAGTGAGTGAGTAAATGGGTGGGTGAGTGAGTGAGTGAGCCAGTGAGTGAGAGTGTGAGTGAGTCAGTGAGGCACTCAGCCTAAATGTTGCTAAGAACAGAATTTCAGTTATGTCCTGGGCTATCAGTTGATGTGGTAAAGAAGTCTGAAGTAATACAGGCCTCGTACATCTGGTGAAACATAACATGGGTATGGTGCTGACAATGAAACAAACATAATTAGGGAAAAATGGGACTCGAAGCCAAGATCTTTGGTTAGTCCCTCAAGGGACACAACTCTACACAACTGCTGCACCTGAGACAACTGGGCGCCAGTGCTCCAAAAAGCTGCAAGGTGACAGGGTGTCACTGCATCAAGATGCACAAGCACTTTCACAGTGAAACTGATTTTAAATTATTCAAAACTTGAGTGCCACTAACAAGGTGCCAGGAAAGCAAGTCTAATTCACTATCCACCAAGATGTTACCTTTATAACCATGTTTTTCTGGCCTCTAAGACCAGGTTCTAAGTTTAAAGTGTGATATGAGATTCCAAGTCCAAATAGGTCCCCATTACCCCATCCTTGGAATTTAAATTGCTGCACTATTTATACCCTCATCTCTGTATAGCAGTATCAGATTCCCTACTGGCAGCAAAGTAAATGTTAATTGCCCTTCTCGTAACCAGTCTACTTCCTGGTGTTTTAGCAGTGAATAACCTTATGATCTAAGATAAATTTAGTATGGGATCTATTCTGATAAATCTATTTATGACACAAAAATTACATATTAATCTTGTAATGAGACAGCAACTTAACTTATAAAGAACCAAGCTTACTTTTGTAACTTTGAAATTAACATTGTTTGAATTTCACCTTCATTTTATATTTCAGACTTTTTAAAGAAAGAAATTGTTCTGACACAAAGTATTCAATTTAAAACTTTGCCACAAGCACTTTGGAATATTGTCATGATAGTCTCAAAACAAAGCAAAACTTTTCACATCAGAAAAAAACTTACATCACTTTGAATGAAAACAGCCAACAAGTTTTTGCTTAACACAATCAATAATGACATTATAAACCTGCCACAGACACATGATTATCAAGTAAACTATATACTGCAGAAGTTCTGCCCCCATCAACACCCTCAAGCCATTTCCCCCAAAAAGGCAAAGTGCATCAAATAACTCATTATTGTCTTAACCACAGGGGAGGGGAACACATCTCCATCCTATAAATATATTGACAAAATGAAGAGATTATTCAAATATGTCTGGAAGAAATCTGCATTCTGCAGTAGAGAATGGCGACAGACCCAAGAATCTTATGTCTTGGTCAATGATGTAACAGAACTCTTCCCTGATCCCACATTGGTAGTGCTTTACGGTGACAACCAATCACCATTATCATTTCCCTGTAATGAAATATTTACTCCACTCCAGCAAGTGAGGATCTTATGGCGGCTTGATGTGTTTTCGAATGACCAACCCGCCTGATTTTACAATGATGTCTTGTGCTAAAACAGTAGTCCCAAGTATCACTATGTTAAATCATCATTTATTCATCATCGTAAGAACGAAGACGTGATAATCATCTACTTCCGAAACGTAGACAATATTATGAATTGAAATGATTTGGTAATTGTATGGAATTGCTGTTGAGTTTACTTCTGCTCCAACAACTGGAGACAGATCTGAAGGATTAGAGGTAACTTGCCTCCAGGGGGTCATCGGCTTCCGCCGTGTAATCGTCCAATCAGGCTAGACAGCTACTCACTCCTTGTCTGAATAATATACTGCCTTCGGTAGCATAACAAATTAGATTTTTCTACTACATAAAATAATATAAAAAAATATAGGTTTTAGACAGGAATAAGATGTGATTTCATGACCAATAGTATAAACATAGTGTTCTTAGATTTGATCATATTGCAAACGGACTTGTGTTTTAAAACTATGTTTAACAGTACAGCTATGAGATCATCACCCTCAACCCTCACCATGACTCTCCATTACATTACAACTGTAAGATCATCACCCTCAACCATCACCATGACTCTCCATTACATTACAACTGTAAGATCATCACCCTCAACCATCACCATGACTCTCCATTACATTACATCTGTAACTGTAAGATCATCACCCTCAACCATCACCATGACTCTCCATTACATTACAACTGTATACGTAAGATCATCACCCTCAACCCTCACCATGACTCTCATTACATGTACATTAACCATCACCATGACTCTCCATTACATTACAACTGTAAGATCATCACCCTCAACCCTCACCATGACTCTCCATTACATTACAACTGTATACTGTAAGATCATCACCCTCAACCATCACCATGACTCTCCATTACATTACAACTGTAAGTAAGATCATCACCCTCAACCATCACCATGACTCTCCATTACATTACAACTGTAAGATCATCACCCTCAACCATCACCATGACTCTCCATTACATTACAACTGTAAGATCATCACCCTCAACCATCACCATGACTCTCCATTACATTACAACTGTAAGATCATCACCTGCAACCATCACCATGACTCTCCATTACATTACAACTGTAAGATCATTACCTGCAACCATCACCATGACTCTCCATTACATTACAACTGTAAGATCATCAACCATCACCATGACTCTCCATTACCAACTGTAACCCCTCAACCATCACCATGACTCTCCATTACATTACAACTGTAAGATCATTACCTGCAACCATCACCATGACTCTCCATTACATTACAACTGTAAGATCATTACCTGCAACCCTCACCATGACTCTCCATTACATTACAACTGTAAGATCATTACCCTCAACCCTCACCATGACTCTCCATTACATTACAACTGTGATATCATCACCTGTAATCATACCATGACCCCCTATAACAGTACAACCATGATATCATCACCTGTAATCATACCACCACCCCCTATAAGAGTACAACCATGGTATCATCACCTGTAATCATCACCATCGCCTCATAAGATTACAACCATGCATCACCTGTAATCCATACCATCGCCCTCCATAACAGTACAACCATGATATCATCACCTGTAATCATCACTATCACCCTCCATAACAGTACAACCATGGTATCATCACCTGTAATCATCACCATCACCCTCCATAACAGTACAAGCATGATATCATCACCTGTAATCATCGATATCACCCTCCATAACAGTACAACCATGACATCATCACCTGTAATCATCACCATCACCCTCCATAACAGTACAACCATGATATCATCACCATCACCTGTAATCATCGCTATCACCCTCCATAACAGTACAACCATGGTATCATCACCTGTAATCATCACCATCACCCTCCATAACAGTACAACCATGATATCATCACCTGTAATCATCGCTATCACCCTCCATAACAGTACAACCATGACATCATCACCTGTAATCATCACCATCACCCTCCATAACAGTACAACCATGATATCATCACCTGTAATCATCACCATCACCCTCCATAACAGTACAACCATGATATCATCACCTGTAATCATCACCATCACCATCCATAACAGTACAACCATGATATCATCACCTGTAATCATCACCATCACCCTATAACAGTACAACCATGATATCATCACCTGTAATCATCACCCTCCATAACAGTACAACCATGGTATCATCACCTGTAATCATCACCATCACCCTCCATAACAGTACAACCATTATATCATCACCTGTAATCATCACCATCACCATCCATAACAGTACAACCTTGAGACCAGCATAAGCAACCATCATTATGACCCTGCAAACACATGCCCTGATTTCAACCTGTTGCAGAGTGGATTCTTGTAAGAATCTTTAGCTTGTGAAATATCCAGGATTACTGTTTCAGAGAAATGCGTGGATGTTGGTTTGGTCAGTTTGTGCCTTCTCATGTTATTACTGTTACAGGCAGACCAATTACAATCTGTCACCAATTTCCCACATCAAGTGTGTCCAAGGACCATAGTTTACACATGAAGGTAAATTACCTCAGCACTGATACACAGTCTAGCCAATAATACTTAAAGGTCACCTCTGAGGGCCAAAGTTAAGCTCCTAGAAATACAGTATCACCTGTCATTAATAAGCGATAGAATATACATAATGTCAAAGCCAGACAATAATCAATCTCAGTTATTTGCCAAATTGGATTCCAATGGGCAAAAATAGTAAAATAGTGTTGAAATAGAGGATATTATATGAGTGCCCATGTCATACTATGTTTACGACACGAGTGCCTAAATGTTGGTATTTCCCGAGCGAGAGCGAGGGATATCCGATATTTAGGCACTCATATAATATTCTGTTTATTACTGAAGTAGTCAAATTGAGGAAAATAAACCCAAATCTACTTTTAAACATAGGCTGGCTACCCGCCGTCGCCGCATGTAGAACGCACCGTCACAGACGAAACGCGATATCATAGCATTGTTCATGACGTCACGTCACCATGACAAAGTGATATTTTGCCCTAGGGCATCGTATGAAAAATATGAACCCCGATATGTTCGTCCTCGTAGGTAATAAAGTTACATAGTTTTCCTGTGAGAAAAGAAGTATCTAGTCCCACATGCAGCATTCAACACCCACACAACCTGCATCAACAGGTATGTATTTATTTGTTGCCCAAAGCCACTCCCAGCTACATTCTCGCCACACCCAGCTACATTCTCGCCACACCCAGATACATTCTTGACGCATCCAGATACATTCTCGCCACACCCAGAAACATTCTCGCCACACCCAGAAACATTCTCGCCACACCAGCAACATTCCTGCCCCTTGATGGCTGCATGCAAACAATTTAGTCTGAACCAGACTATCTAGTGACACAGGTGTACTGATTTTAATGAAACCAAAAACGAAATGTTAACTTTGATATAGTTCTGCTGCATGACAGTGCAGAAATTCTGCTGCTTACAAGTATATTGAAACAGTTGAGACCAGTGCAGAAATTCTGCTGCTTACAAGTATATAGAAACAGTTGAGACACTGTTCATTTTGCCACACAATTGGGGCAGTTATAATGTTGTATCCCAGACACTGTTCATTTTGCCACACAATTGGGGCAGTTATAATGTTGTATCCCAGACACTGTTCATTGTGCCACACAATTGGGGCAGTTATAATGTATCCCAGACACTGTTCATTTTGCCACACAATTGGGGCAGTTATAATGTTGTATCCCAGACACTGTTCATTGTGCGACACAATTGGGGCAGTTATAATGTATCCCAGACACTGTTCATTTTGCCACACAATTGGGGCAGTTATAATGTTGTATCCCAGACACTGTTCATTGTGCCACACAATTGGGGCAGTTATAATGTATCCCAGACACTGTTCATTTTGCCACACAATTGGGGCAGTTATAATGTTGTATCCCACACTGTTCATTTTGCCACACATTTGGGGCAGTTATAATGTCGTATCCCAGACACTGTTCATTTTGCCACACAATTGGGGCAGTTATAATGTTGTATCCCAGACACTGTTCATTGTGCCACACAATTGGGGCAGTGATAATGTTGTATCCCAGACACTGTTCATTTTGTACCTGAGTCAGCATAACTGAAATGCTTCTTAGTTTATCATTAAACAGTGAAACTCCAGTCAACCACCTTGATGACAAAAAGTAGAAACAACTTTAAGAATTTGGTGAATAATACCGGATACCTGTTGGTCATATTTAGTTATTATTTCACTCTTTGAAAATAAGAAATAAGCCCAAAACATGACCCAACTTTGATTTGTTTTGTATAATATGAATAAAGTCATAAATATAAACATAAAAAAAAAAATAGAACACTGAATAGTAAAAAAATACTCAAATAGGAGTTGCTGCCACAGAGCACCAACCTCATCAATTACAAGCATCAGGGAAACATCTTGACAAACATGAAGTATTGTTCTTTACCTTTGTTCACTGAAAATGACATTGACTTACAAAACTTTCATTACAAGTAACCTGTGAAGATCCGGGATAGAATCGGTCTTCAGCAACCCATGCTTGTCACAAAAGGCGACTATGCTTGTCATAAGAGGCGACTAACGGGATCGCTGACTCAGGCTCGCTGACTTGGTTGACACATGTCATTGGTTCCCAATTGTGCAGATCGATGTTCATGAAGTTGATCATTGGATTGTCTGGTCCAGACTCGATTATTTACAGACCGCCACCATATAACTGGAATAATGCTGAGTACGGCGTAAAACTAAACTCACTCACTCACTCATTACAAGTATCTAAGACAAACAAAGTCTCCAATACAACCCTTAATTGTCCTGGTAACTGATGATATCACAACATTGTGCAAAGCACTGTGATTTAACTCATCTCATCCTAGTGAGTGAGTATGTATGGTTTACGCCGCTTTTAGCAATATTCCAGCAATATCATGGTGGGGGACACCAGAAATGGGCTTCACACATTGTACCCATGTGGAGAATCGAACCTGGGTTTTCGGCGTGACGAGCGAACGCTTTAACCACAGGGCTACCCCATCGCCGCTCATCCTAGTAATAACTCCTGTTGAATCCTATTGGGGTGAGAGATTCTACTGCATGGTGAGTATGTATGATAAGCACGAACATAATTTATTGACACTGATGATAACTGAGGTATTATCATGAGTATTAGTGACTTGTTCTCATCTCCGTTTACAACTTGGGGCCAACTGATGAATTCGGAAATACCCACAAATATCCATTTTGCTAAACATACCTTTCATAAATAATGCAAACACCATCTTTGGAGTTATTCTTGTGAAGATACCTCTCAATGATAACCTTTAGAATGACGGACTTCGTGCACAGATCATTCAGTGGAATGTGACCTTGCTAGCTGCGAGCAATGGTTCCAAGGTCAGAACTGTATCATCAAGCTTCAGTTCTTGACATGAAAGAATAACTTACCATATAGTTATATGAAAATATTGTTTTTTCTCTAACTTATTTTGATGAGTATATAAAAAGATAAACTTCACACCTGTTTCAAACACATCATTGAGTGAATTCATCAGGTAATAATAGCATCAGAAATTTTGCATCAGATTTCTGGAGACACTTTTCAAACATATATTCATCCATTCTCTGTAATGTTCTTATCACCTCCAAGTATTTCATCCATTAATTCATCAACACGGAATTACAGGAAACATAATTACAACATTGAAACATGGCAGCAAACATAAACATTCTTTCTGTTTTTTTGCCTATTGCTGCACTCACCAATATCCCAGCTTAATACAAGTTTCTTAACTTGAAAAGAAGACATAACATGAAATGGGGTGTCTTTCATTCTGCCACTTTGACATAAGTAGATTATTTTAGAATAACTCTTTACCTGTCACTATGGGTTTAAGAAATACTGTTTAAAATTCAATCTTGAAAGACTGTTAATGGTATATTTTTAAAATGGTGTGACCCTTTTTATTTTAATTTTTGTAGCCTAATGAACTTTTGGATAAAATAAGATAAACATTAGGACTGGACTTTTTAAGTAATGTTTATCACAAACCGTCAAGAATTATGGGGACAGAATTCTGCACCCCCTTCCCCAGAAATCTGGTCAAAAACGAAGTGGCCAGTAATTTCAACACTAAAGCCTGGACTACACAAACCATTACTTGATATTATGAAACTGC